CTTTCCCCTCCCTCCCTCATGAACAATCCCTCTCTCTGACACTCCCCTCCTCAACACCCCCCTCCCCCTCAGGGACACTCCCCCTCCTCAGACACTCCTCTCCCTCATGACAGTGCCCTTCCTCAAACACCCCCCCCCTTATAAAACACTCCTCCCCCTTCATGACACCCCCTTCCCTCATGACACCCCCTTCATGACATCCCCCTCCTCGACACCCCCTCTTCCTCTTTTTTTGCCCTACCCCTATGACACTCCCCCTACCTCCCCTCCTCCATCTACCTCCTTTTCTTCTTTTCTCCACTACAAATACTGTCCCCCCCTCTCCCTTATTTTCCATCTTCCCCCCCTTTTTCATTTCTCACCTACCCTCTTCCTTCTCACCCTTTTACATCTCCCTCCCTTTCCCCTCATCTCTATCTTACTTCCCCCACGTTCCCCCTCCTTTCCTTACACCTCTCCCTTCCTCTATACCTCTCTCTTTCTTTTCCCTTTTACCCCTTTTCTTCCTCCCCCCCCCTCTTCTTACACCTATTCGATTCATGATCCTTCCCTCCTCTACCCTTCCCCCGCCCCTCCTTCACACCTTCCACTCTACGTTCCCTCCCATATCACTACCTCGTTATGTTTCTACACACTCCCCCCCCTTCCCCAAAAAACCTACCTTCCCCCCCTCCCCCCCCTCAGCCAAAAAACCTACCTTACCTCCCCCCTCCCCCATTTCTTTCCTACCATCCCTTTCCTATCAAGCACACTCATTCCCTCTCTCCGTTCCACCCCCATACCTCTTCTATCCCTAACACCTTCCTTAATTTCCCCTTCAGCCTCCCTCTCCCACTTCTTTCTCTCCCCCTCCCTCCACTCTCCTGTTTTTACCTACCCCCCCTCCCCTTCCCTTCCCACAAACCTATCCCCTCGCTCTTCCCTTACCTTCCTACCCATGCATCACACTTACCTCATGAAGGTAGGTTGCTTGACCTCAAACTGAGCATTCCAGTAGCCTCTGGGAAGTTTTTGGACAAAAACGACGGTTGGATCTCTGAGTCTTTTAGTTCCGTGTCCCCGTGTCGACTTGGGCGCCGCGCCAGTGTCGTCGTCAGAGGTGGTGAGTATGCTGTGAGAGACATTGTTTATATTACGTAAACTTAAGCACTGCTGTATGCTGCTACACTAATTTATATGAGAGTTACATGATGGGAACACTTGATGTGTGTGATGTTACGGGCAGTATGTGCTACACTATTGTAGTGGAGTTAATAAGGGGAAAACGTACTGTGTAGTGTTTTCACTGCAGTGTGGGGCAGTGCACCCTCATATACAAATGAAATGTTCAGGTTTTCGAGAAGGGGGAATTTTTTTTTTAAAACTTGCAGAAAAAGAAAGAAGGATAAACGGAAAATATTGCTCGTTCAAACTGAGTCAGGTTTTTCCCAGGAATTTACCCCCCCCTCCAAACCTCAATCTCCAAAACCCCCGAAACCGTAACAACCGGTCGCTGGGGGTTTTAAAATCCCCCAAATGCCCTAATTTCCCACTCGTTCTCTCCTCTTTCTTGTAGTTCCCATTTACAACCTGGTGAGAAACTTCAGCTGTTTCCAAATAAATCGAGTCATTCAATGGGGTACAAGTGATGGGGAGGGAGGGGCAGGGGTTTTGCAAAAATTTGCTTCAGGACTGCCCAAAAACATCCCCAGAGCCGAAGTTTACCAGAAATCCAAAAACCCACATTTAGCAGAGGAAACCATAGGAATTTTTTCCCTGTCCTCTTGCATCATGTCAAATAAAAAAAGTGTGATCTGAAAAGGTCCGGGGACGGAAAAAACTTAGTCATAAGTTTCCCCTCTCTCTTGTGGGTTATTTCTGAAATTTTTTTTGGTCACTTTTTGGGTTTTTTTTTCCCATATGTTCCATAGGCACTTACAAACCTCATTTCAAACCCAAAATATTGACAACATCTCCCATAAACATTGTTCAAAATACCCAATTTTTGTCAAAACCCCATAAAACCCAAGACAGACCTGAGTGGGAAAAGACCGGCGAACCTAGAAAGGGCCCCTATAAAAATTTCCCCGTAAAAATTTACAGAAATGTTCTAATATTTATTAAGGACCCAAAAACACAAACAAAGCCTTACGTAATAGTTCCTTTAGGGCGAAAAACCCGTCAAGGAATTAAACAATTTATTCAAATTTCCCCCCAAATATTTAAATTAAATTTTTATTGTTGACCTACTGACAGGCGGGTTCCGGATACAGCAGGTTAGGTTCCCCTGATACAGCAGGTTAGGTTCCCCGTACAGAGGTTTTGATTCCCCTGATACAGTAGGTTTGGTTTCCCCTGTCAGCAGGTTTGGTTGCTGATAAGTAGGTTAGATTCCCCTGAACAGAGGTTTGGTTCCCCTGATAAGTAGGTTAGATTAGCTTTCGCAGGTTAGGTTCCGCTGTACAGCAGGTTAGGTTCCGCTGAACAGTAGGGTTTGGTTTCGCTGATACAACGGTTAGGTTCGTGATACAGTAGGTTAGATTCCGCTGATACAGGGTTAGGTTCCCCTGAAAAGCAGGTTAGTTTCCCCGGTACAGTAGGTTTGATTCCCCGATACAGCAGGGTTTGGTTCCCCTGATTTTCAGCAGGTTTTGGTTCCGCTTTTTCTAGGTTAGATTTGCGAAAAGCAGGGTTTGGTTCCCCTGAAAAACAGGTTAGTTCCGGATACAGCAGGTTAGGTTTGGCTGTAAGCAGGTTTGATTTCCCCTGATACAAAACAGGTTAGGTTCCGCTATACAGTAGGGTTTGATTCCGCTGATACAGCAGGTTAGGTTCCCCTGAACAGGGAGGTTTGATTCCGCGTTCGCAGGTTAGGTTCCGCTGATACAGCAGGTTAGATTCCGTGATACAGAGTTAGGTTCGCGAACAGTAGGGTTTGTTCCGTGATACAGCAGTTAGGTTCCATGATACAGAGGTTTGTTCCGCTGATACAGCGTTGGTTCCGCTGAAAAAGTAGGTTAGATTCCGCTGACAGATTAGGGTTTCCCCTGTACGTGGTTAATTCCGTGATACAGCAGTTAGGTTCCCCTGTGTAGGTTAGATTCCCCTGAACAGCATTAGGTTCCGCTGTCAGTAGGTTAGATTCCGCGATACAGCATTAGGTTCCACTGATACGTAGGTTAGTTTTCCCCTGATACAGCAGTTAGGTTCCCTGAACAGAGGTTAGATTCGTGATACAGCAGTTAGGTTCCGGTGATACAGCAGGTTAGGTTCCGCTGATACAGCAGTTAGGTTCCGCTGATACAGTAGGTTAGATTCCGCTGATACAGCAGTTAGGTTCCGCTGATACAGCAGGTTAGGTTCCGCTGATACAGCAGTTAGGTTCCGCTGATACAGCAGGTTAGGTTCCGCTGATACAGCAGGTTAGTTCCCTGAACCCGTAGGTTAGGTTCCGGGTTACTGTGATAAAGGAAAATCAAGAAAGTAAATAATAACCTTTTTTTTTCCTTTCAAATCCATTAAAAGCCAAAAAATTATCATTATTAAGTGGGCAAAAAATTAGGCCTAAAAAAAAAAGCAAATGCTATGAGTCACACATTACTTTCCTCAAAATATTTTCATCCTTAGCTTAGTAAGTAGCGAATATATTTTGTAGGAAGTTTAAGTAAATGAAAAATTGGATATAATAAAAAAATAATTAGCGTAAAGCTGTAAAGCGAAGCGCTGTAAAGCGAAGCCTGTAAGCGAAGCGCTGTAAATGAAAACGCTGTAAAGTGAAGCGCTGAAAGCGGGGGCCTCTTGTTCAATGCTGTTTCCGAATTTTCGGGGGGGATCCATCTGGTCCCAAGCGTCTACCGGGAGTTTCCTGGATGTGTTTCGGGGTCAGCCCCCTCGCGGCCCTCGTTGAAACCCTTTAACGGGTAGAACCTGAAAAAACCAGTTGATGGTGCGGCTGTAGGAAATCCCCTATGCCCACAGCCCGGCTGAAGGGAAATGACTTAAAACTTGCCAATTTTTTCCCTTTTTAAAACTGTCAAATTCAGTTTATCAAAAAACCCCCCAGCATGAGAGGAAATTTAAAAGTCTTGGGCCCTTCAACTGTTTTAAATTTTAACCCAAAAAAACGGCTTTTTCATGCAAAAAAATTTCCCCCCATTTAAAACCACGAGTAATTTTTGTGGTCTGAACGTTTTCCCTGTGTGCGACAGTCTTTTGTTTTATTTCTTCTTTTTTAAAAAAAGGGAAAAAAATAAATTTTAAACTGGGTAGTAAGTCTTAATACAATTGGGTTTTTTGTTCATAGAGCGCAAAAATGTCTAGACTTTAATTTCGGGTAAAAATTTAAAATATAAAAAAAATATGGTTTTTTTTAGGGGGGTTTAATTTTTCCAAATTTAGGGTTTTTTTGTATGGGTTTAGGGGGGAAGGGGGGGGGGGGGGGGGGGGTGGTTGTAGGTTTTTGGTAGGGGGGGTTTTAAAAAATTGGAAAATTAATAAATAGAAAATTAATTAAATAAATTATTAAAAATAAAATTTAAAAATATTAATAAAATTAATAAATAACTATTTTAAATGGAATTATAAATAAGAAATAAAAAGGGATAAAAATTAATAAGGATCAAAATTAATAAATAAAAATTAATTAAAGGGACTTCCCCCCCCCTTTCCCCCTTTTTTTTTTCAACCTAAATTACTTACAATCCTTAAAATTACATATTATTTAATTTACTTTTTTTTTTAAATTTCCTTTTTTTAAATTTCATCCCCCCCCCTTTTTTACCCTTTTTTTTAAAAATTTCCCCCCCTTCCCCCCCCCTAACCCCCTTCCCCCAAACCTTTATTAAAAATAAAACCCCCCCCCCTTTTTAAACATATATTACACCCCTTAAATTACACTACTTCAAATTTATAATTCAATCTCCCAACTAATTCACCCCCAATTTTAAATAAAACTAATTCCCCCCCAATAATTATTCCAATTTAATAAAAATTAATTAAAACTATATCAAAAAAACTTCACTCCCCAAATTATGAACATTCCTACTAATATACTCCCAAAAAAACTTTTATACAATACTAATTAACTAATTACAAATACCCATTAAAATACCAAATTTTTAAAAAAAATTCAAAAATAACTTAATATTCATAAAAATTATCCCAAAACTTTTCACTATCAAACTTTCAGGTCCAAAATAATCACTCCAATTTAAAATCTAACCCATTAAATTACAATTTTATCAATAAAAATTACCTAAAAAAGTTAATTAATATTAATTCCCCCCAAAAAATTTTCATCCAATACCTTAATCCACACTATTCACTTGAATACCTTAATTGGAAAAATATTATTCCCAATATTTAATTAAAAGGAAATCAATTTAAAACCATATAGTTAAAAAATATAAAATAATATTATTAACTTCTATTAAACCATTATTAAAAACAATAATTCCAAAAATAAAAATTACATATAAATTAGAAACCAAAATTAATAATTTATTCCAAACCTAATTATAAAATATTAGTTAATAAAAATTAATAATTATTTAAACTAAGTATTAACTACTAATCTAAAAAATTTAAACCCCCAAAAATTACTTAACAATTTAAAAAAAACTACCATAACCCCAACTATTAATAAAAAAATCATTCCCAAAATACTCAATTAAAAATACTTATTCCCCCAAAAAAAATTATTAAGTATTAATTAATTTAAAAAATTAACTACTATCCCAACTATCATTTTAATATTATAATAACATTACTGGAATATCATCGCAAATTTGTTAAAAACCTTCATCCCAAAAAAATTAATTAATACTTAATTACATATATCCCAACATATCCCAGGTAAACATATTCCCCCGAACCTTTCTTACACTACTTAACTAAAATACTATCCCAAATATTGGATTAAATACTACTTCCCCAAAAAATCAAAACACTATTAAAAACCAATATAAAACAACCACTTAACCCCATAATATCTAACCTACTATACAATAATTCATAAAAAACCCACTCTAAACACCTGTAACTATTAATTCAACGCATCTTAATAACTTTCAAATATCATAAATTTAACTCCCCCTCCTAACCTAAAAAATATTATCGCCACACCCAATTTAA